TACGTCGATGGTGAGAACCGGAGGGCTGACTTGGTCATCGCTCCGGTTTTTCTTCTTGGCCTCGATGCCGAGGCGGGCATCAGGGGCATTCTGTTGGATCTGAAGGCGTAGGTCAACAGCCGCCTGCTCCAGCCCAGCGATGACACCGCCCTCGGGAGCCCTGTGAGAGGCTTCGGGGGCGTTGACGTCGTCGAGGGCCAGGTTCTTGTCTTCTACGTTTTTGGAGTTGGCACGTGTTGTTCTCACCATTTTGGTAGAGGGCTAGTGTTTGGCGAAGGGGGAGGGTTTCTTACTTGATTGTTCGACCTCTCAACGAGAGCACCAAATGATGGATAGTGTACTCGGGGGTAGCTTATCCGAGGGGTTATTACGGGGAGTAATAAGAGAGAAGTCAGAGCAAGTAAATGTAGAGAGAGAAAGTATATTATAAGTGTGGAGCGTTTTCAGCGTGGTTACAAATGGGGAAATGGGGTGCTATTTATAGTAGCAATAAATGCCGGACAGGGACACGCGTCAAGCGCCCATTGGCCGAGAGGTCACCTCAACTGGTTGGCGCTGGCAGCCGCATGTGGCCGCATTTAATGCGGCTGTTGGATGGGACATCTGTACAGGGTACGGTGATCTGTACGCATGTGATGCGGATATCATGTCGGGAGAGGTGCCCTTGGCTGCAGAGGACTAGCTGAGGGCTCTTAGTGCCGAGGACCCCTGAGTGCCGAGGGCTCCAGGTGCCGAGGGCTACTGTCTTCTGCCGTTTTCCTCCCAGTTTCTTAGTTTGCTTGAGAAACCCGTTCTGTGAGAGTTTAGAGCCTTCGGCCAGGGGGCCGAAGGCACCCCTAGTGCGCCTTGCGGGCTGCTTGGTACTCTGGGCGCTGTGATTTGGGCCTGTTGGGCCTTCTGGGCCTGTTGGGCCTTTACTGGAGTAGTAGGAGTCTGTGGGCCGGGTGTTCCCGGGCCATATACTCCATCAATTATATTATATTATATTATATTATATTATATTATATTATATTATATTATATTATATTATATTATATTATATTATATTATATTATATTATATTATATTATATTATATTATATTATATTATATTATATTATATTATATTATATTATATTATATTATATTATATTATATTATATTATATTATATTATATTATATTATATTATATTATATTATATTATACAACAACAACATCCAAGCCTTAGTCCCAAAAGATATTGGGGTCGGCTAACATGAATCGATGCATTATATCACAACCAAAAGGAAAAGAAGGAATAAAGATAAAAAGATAAGCTATTATGAAAAGATAATATAAAAAAGATGAATATATATAGAAATGATAAAATAAAAAGGCTGCAAATAATGCATATATATACAAGGATAAAAAAAACTAGGAAAAAAAGATGAGGGAAAAAGATTATCAAGATCACTCCTTCACGTGAATACCCGCCCTCCACTTAGTTCTCTCCAAAGTCATGCCCTCATTCAACCCCAGAAGAAGCATATCACTACGAACTCCCCTAACCCACGTCTGTTTGGGTCTTCCTCTCCCTCTCTTCCCTGCCTCTTCTCCACACATCTCAACTCGCCTAACAGGTGCATCACTCGGTCTTCTACGCACATGACCAAACCACCGTAGGCGCGACTCCCGCATCTTGTCTTCAATAGGTGCTACTCCCACCCTTTGTCTGATTGTCTCATTCCTCACGCGGTCCTTCCTAGTATGCCCACACATCCAACGCAGCATGCGCATCTCTGCCACACTCATCTTTTGAATGTGACATTGTTTCACCGCCCAACACTCTACGCCATACAGTAATGCAGGCCTAATTGCTGTCCTATAAAATTTACCCTTCAGTCTAGTCGGCATACCTCGGTCGCATAGAAATCCTGACGCACTCTTCCACTTCATCCACCCTGTTCTGATTCTATGGGATACATCTCCATCTAACTCACCGTCCTTCTGAATTATGGAGCCCAAGTAACGGAACATATCGCTGACTGGTATCTCCTTACCATCCAGAGTAATTCCGCTATTACCACTACTTCTACCTCCACCAAACTTGCACTCGATGTACTCTGTCTTGCTCCGACTTAGTTTGAAACCCTTATTCTCCAATGTTTGTCGCCATACTTCCAACTTTGCTTTAAGACCTGATTGCGTCTCATCAATCAATACAATATCGTCGGCAAACATCATGCACCACGGTATATCGTCTTGAATTGACTTCGTAAGTTCATCCATGACTATGGCAAATAAGAAAGGACTCAAGGCCGATCCTTGGTGCACTCCGATAGTAATAGGGAACTCTTCAGTCCTCCCTACACTAGTACGAACACTTGTAGTACAATCCTCATACATATCCATGATGATGCTGATATATTTGCGTGATATGCCTTTCCTAGTTAAGGCCCACCAAAGAACTTCTCGAGGTACCCTATCATATGCCTTTTCTAAGTCAATGAACACCAAATGCAGATCCTTATGAGCATCTCTATATTTCTCCATAAGTTGACGAAGAAGGTGAATAGCCTCACTTGTTGAGCGACCAGGCATAAAACCGAATTGATTCTCTGAAATCTTCACAGTCCTTCGAAGTCTTTGCTCAATCACTCGCTCCCAAAGTTTCATGGTGTGACTCATAAGCTTAATCCCTCGATAGTTGACACATTCTTGTACATCACCTTTATTCTTAAATAAAGGGGTAAGAGTACTCTTCCTCCAACTCGTTGGCATCTTGTTGTTTCTCCAAATCATGTTGAAGAAACTTGTTAACCACTCGACGCCTCTCTCCCCCAAACTTCTCCAAGCCTCGATCGGTATGCCATCTGGCCCCATTGCTCTTTTCCGTCCCATCTTCCTCAGAGCTTCTTTAACTTCCGTTGTTTGGATCCTTCTCACAAAATCACGGTTAACCATACAATCTGGTATGGACAAATCGCCGATATCTTGCGTTTTGTTCCCGTTGAATAGTGTATCAAAGTATGACCTCCACCTCTCTTTTATCTCTCCGTCGTCCATTAATATCCTCTTATTATATTATATTATATTATATTATATTATATTATATTATATTATATTATATTATATTATATTATATTATATTATATTATATTATATTATATTATATTATATTATATTATATTATATTATATTATATTATATTATATTATATTATATTATATTATATTATATTATATTATATTATATTATATTATATTATATTATATTATATTATATTATATTATATTATATTATATTATATTATATTATATTATATTATATTATATTATATTATATTATATTATATTATATTATATTATATTATATTATATTATATTATATTATATTATATTATATTATATTATATTATATTATATTATATTATATTATATTATATTATATTATATTATATTATATTATATTATATTATATTATATTATATTATATGATATTATATGATATTATATGATATTATATGATATTATATGATATTACATTACATTACATTACATTACATTACATTACATTACATTACATTACATTACATTTACATTACATTACATTTACATTACATTTACATTACATTACATTACATTACATTACATTACATTACATTACATATAAACTAATAAACACATGTGTATATATGAATGTATGTGTATACATGTACAAGGTTATTTTAGACATTGTAATATATAATACTCATATAATATAATACAGAGTATAAAATAATATAATGTAATATGTAGTATTTCTATAATATTCCCTTTGTCCCTTGAAACTTTGTTAACTTTTATTTTTTTGTTGTCCTATTAATCTTGCTTGTCACTTTCTTTTGAAAATAAAAATTTTGTGGTTTCAGTTAATTTTCTTTCTTTTGCAGAAACTCAACCACATAATTTTAACTTTATTAATCTTGTGAGGTCAAATTTGACCAAATTTTAAATGATAAAGGAATAAAATACTACGTACTCTCTTCGCTTCATAATTTTTTTGAAAAAATGGCTTTGATATTACTCTTGGGACATAACTCCTCTTAATAATTCCAAAAATATGACTTGCACCTATCCCTACGCGCTAAACAAACGCTTCATCTACGTACTCGGAGCTTCATTTCCGTCCAGCATCGTCGAACTCAGGCACCTCCTCCGAACAGCAGTAGCATCGACCTCCTCCGCCTCCTCCACTTCCTTGGGTGCCTCCGCCTCCGTTACCACCGCCATCGTCCTTGCCCTCCAACCGAGAACACAACAGACACAACATGATCTTCGTCACCGCTGCCTCCCTTATCGCGACGTCGCCCTACACCGCTTCCTTTTTCATCTCTTTTCTGTCTGGCGCCCCTTTGATGAAGACCGTTGCAGATCTGCGGTGACAGTTCGGAGGTTGGGAGTGTAGTTAAGGTTAGATCTGGATCTAAATTCGTGGAAACGATGGCTACGGTTAGATCTAGGGTAGTCGTATAGTTGGTGTGAAGTGGGAGGGCTGTGAGGTCATGGTGGACATCGATGCAGGCTGGATACGGCTAAGAGGTGTGGGATAATGTTTGGTCAGGGCCGGCGGCGTCACCCACCGGAGGGGATGGGGGAGCTGGGGGTCAGGGGGGCTGAGGAGGGGCTTGGGGATGGGGAGGTGACTAGAGGCTAGGGTAGGGGCTGGGGAGGTGACTGTGGGTGGGGCGGTGGACGACGGCGACAGTCTGTGGTGATGGTAGGCCGGTGATGCTAGGGCGGGGTAGGCTACGGACGAGGCTGAGGGAGCAAGGGAGGGATGGGACAGGAGACACCAGAGACAGCGTGTCATTGTGACCGGAGTCACTTTGCGCTGCAGAGTTAATTGTGATGTTTGGTCACATTTTTAGAATTTTTAAAAACAGACCACTTTTTTATCTTTTTATCTTAATTTTAAGTAATATATCCAGGTCAAAAGGCCTAAATTTTTCTCAATTACTCTTTTACTATTTTAGATGTTTTAAAAAATTCTCATTTCCCATTCCACTAACATCCATTTACATTTAAAATGATTTTTGTTACGGTTTTTTATTTTTCAATTGCCGCCTGATTTCGCACTGCCGGCTAAAAAACACTGTAACTTCAGCTTGGCTGCGATGGCGGCTGTACCAGCGTTAGGAGCGGTGGCCACCTCCGCCTTCACCTTCATCAATCTTTCGAGGTCACAATCTTTCGCTCGCATCACTCACTATAGTCTCCGGCGGGTAATTACGTCTCCCATATCAACTTCCTCTAACGACATCACTTTCGCTCCTTCCAAACCTAAGCCTTCATCGTCTACTATAACCCTAACCTCCAATTCGGGCAAGGAGCATCTAGACATCCATAGGATCGTTCGAAAAGGGAAAGGGAGTCACGCTCTTCAGTCAACCCGTCCATCGCGTCCTCTCCATGCGGGGGCCAATGCAAAGACGGGCAAGACGAAAAAGAAGAGCGAGAGCGCTCCTAAAGCTAAACCCGTGAAGCTCTCAACTGAGCCTAAATATTCCAAAGCAGCTCGCCGGTTCTATAACGAGAACTTTCGAGACCCTCCACAACGCCTGAGTAAAATCCTTGCTGCGGCTGGAGGTAATCGACATATTTCGCTTTTTCTCTATCTATATCTTCTTCAAATGTAGGTTTGGTAACAAGAATGAAATTTGCGCAATGGTTAGCTGGGGGATAACCAATAACGCCTTTTTATAAGATATGATCTTTCTTAAACAGTGGCATCGAGGAGAAGCTGTGAAGAACTTATTTTTGAAGGCCGAGTTACTGTTAATGGTTCAGATTGCAAGACTCCACAGGCAAGGTTCATTTGTAGTAGCTAGTAATAGTGAATCTTTCAAAAGTAGGACTTCCATTTTTTTGGAAGCCAACAAGTGTAGGAAAAGGCCGACTGGCCTCTAACAGTCTAAAATTAGATATTATAGAGTATATTTCTGGACCACCAAGCCCATAGATAGCCTATTAACTCTGATAAAAATGATATACTCATATGTATTATGTAATATTCCATGGAACATTTTATTAGGGATCTGAATTGTTTATCTTATTATTGATTTTAGTTATTCTAATGTGCAGACTAGAGTTGACCCAGCAAAGGATATAATTTATGTTAATGGAAGGCGCATGTCTAAGAAACTGCCTCCTAAAGTTTACTTTGCTTTGAACAAACCCAAAGGGTCAGTTTATCGTACCTTAGGCCCATTGGCATCTTTTGTTTGAATTTTTTCTTCTGTTTTGCAAGTGGAGTTATTGTTAGTTGATGATGTTCTAGGTACATTTGTTCATCTGGGGAGAAAGAGACCAGGTCGGTTATGTCTCTTTTTGATGATTTCATGAAGAGCTGGGTATGTATCAATTGTTGTACATGCGTGTCTGTTGCTGACTTGACAGACTGAAACTATTGTGTTTGTTTGGGTCCACTTTTTATTGCTCTAATTCACATAAAAAGATCTTAGATAGGTGAGGTTTACCTCATAATTATGGAACATGAACGATTGTTGGTAGGGCTTAAAGCCTCAAATAGACACTAGACAGGCCACCCTGCCATCTAGTGGGCAGGCGTCCCACAAACAACTATCTGTCAATATGATATCATGTTAAGCTGGGTCTAACTCAACCTTAAAAAATTCATGAATACTGATTCTTATCTCACACTTATATACTAAACTAGAGTCAAACCGCCTAGACAATTGATGATTGATCCAATCGGATGTGCTCTTCTGCCATTAATACACACACACATATATTTGATGTGATTTATGTGTTCTATTCTTTGTCTTGATAGAATAGAAAGCATCCCGGAGAACCCAAACCACGACTATTTACTGTGGGACGTCTTGATGTAGCAACATCCGGTTTGATTATTGTGACAAATGACGGTAATGTAATATAAATATGGCATATGAAGTTATATGTAAATTCTTTTGTTCTTAACAGAACTTATGCAAATCCATTGTCATGGTGTCTATACTCTTCCAGGGGAGTTCGCTCAGAAAATTTCACATCCTTCATCAAATATGTCAAAGGAGTAAGGTTTTATCTTGGATGTTTACTTTTGATAAGTACACCTAATTCTCAGTACCTCGGGCAGCCCAGCCAGCCCTTTCATATTTTTCTGTTTTTCTTAGCACTAAAAATTTAAAAAGTAAATGTAGTAATAAAAGGAGGAAATTCTAACTGTAGTCTCTTCATGTTGCATTTTTCTGCTTTTGGTCTCCTCGACTGTTGGAAATGTAATCTTTTAGTCTTCCTAAGTTCCAAACTTCCAAAGGCTTTAATTTTTTGTAAGATTTGGTCTCTTATCAGGGAAAAAAAGTTGCAGCCTTATGAAATTGGGCCAGAATCGGACTAACTGGAACCTCATTAAACATGATGCCCATATATACATTTGAACAAAGTTATTAAGAGTATCTCTTAAATAAATATGTTTCTTAAAGTTCTCTTAAAAAATATTGGGGGATCAAGAGGAATTGTCAACAGATAATATGGATTTCGTTTTTGCAGACCTTTAGATTTAGTTGAAGCATACAAAATACCTTTGATGTTTAGAGTTATTGAGAAATTAACAAGCTTACCATGTTTTTTACAACTGTTGCAGATACATTGCAACAGTTGAAGGTGATGTGAATAAACGACACTTGAATGCCATCTGTGAAGGAACAGCCATTGAAGGTGTCCAATGTAAACCAGATTTTGTGGAACTACTTCCAAAACAGCCTGATATCTCTAGACATCGCCTTCGGATAGTGGTACTATTTTTCACATCTTTACTTGACCATTTACATGGCATTTCTATTTTTTATAATCTAAAAATTTAACCTTTGTGTTTTGTGGTCTCTTACGTCATAAGCAGACATATTTATGGCCTTTTAGTTATGTTGGAACTCTTTTTGGGCCAAATGTACCTATTCACTTCGACTCATTTTCGTCCCAGATCATACCAGAGAACCAAACCAAATCAGATAATATCAAACCAGATATGTTTTCCACGTTTTGACGTTTTGTTAACAGGACAACGTACTGTCTTTGGGCCACATATAGCGCAGTATCTTGCACATTGAGGTTATTATTATTTCATTGCAAAGATGATAGATTGCACAGGGTTGACTCTTGTGTTTAAAATGGGGCAGGTTCACGAAGGAAGAAACCATGAAGTTCGGGAGATTGTAAAAAATGCTGGACTCCAGGTGTGTTTGGTTGTTGATTCATCTTTCAACCTTTTTTCTTGTTTTTGTTTCATTATACATGTGTATATCCAATGTTCTTATGTATTGTGCAATATTGTGAATGTTAAGATTTTGGTGTTTTATACTTTATTATTGTGTTTTAGATTCATGCACTGAAGCGTGTGAGAATAGGCAGCTTCAGACTTCCAACTGACCTTGCGTACGTTTATTTGACTCTTCTTTGCTCTTTTCCTTCAGCTCCTTTGTCTCACCAGTTTTGCTTTGGCAGGCTTGGGAAGCATGTTGAACTAAAAGCAGCTAACTTGACGACATTGGGCTGGAAGAAATAGGAAAGTTGCACTAATGTAGGCTCCATTTGGTAGCTGATTCTGACAGCAGGCAATTGAATGTGATGATTGTGGTGAGATTTGGTAATGTGTAAACCTTGAGAATCTCAAAATGAACAATGATAGGACAAGATCATCTTCTTCTGCAATTGGGCGGATCAGATCTCGCAAGGAAAAGGACAACAGTAATTAAGTTCTCAGATAGTGGAGAAAGACGCGAAGTGCATGTTGCCCTTGTTTACATAACTTTTTCTCTCGTTGTAAATCAGTGTATAAGAGAGTAAAATTTCCCGTGGATTACGTCCGGTGCCTGTAGTTCTGCTTTCTGAAGATGGTTTGTGGGCCATATGTGCAAAAATGGTGTACTATGTTTCAATGCTGACCGAACTCTGTAGTTGGATTCAATTCAATATTATTCAATTAATGTTGCACTTCAAATTCTTCTTTCTACCTGTTTCATATTTCTGTTTTTTTTTTGGCAAAATGGGCTTTTGTTTTCAAATTGTCAGCAACAAGGGTCAACGTTATTTTTGGAAATATGAAGAGTCCATTTAGAGATATCAAGTGTGCTAGCTTTTGAAGGGTAGTACTTAGCCTCTAATCTTTGTATCTCTCCTCAGAATTGTCTTGCCTGATTCATATTCAAGCTCTTTTGTATAATAATGTCAGATGAAACATAAGGAGTAATGTCTTAGATTGCACTTTCTCATCTCAATATATAGAGCATGTTTGGACGTATTTTTAGTTTTGCTGGGTGATTACTGATTAATGGTTACAGTATTATGAATAGTTTTGTATTTGTTGATGCATCATTAATGTTACGTAGTAATGGTATTTTATTCCTCTTTTTCTCTCAGTTAGAACAATGTAATTGCATTGCATTGTCCCTTGTTAAATGCTTTGAGAACTATTTTTAGTTCTATGTATGAATTGCGAAATTGATATGGGAAAATTTGGTACGCGTGTCCCATTTATTTATTTACTTCTAAATGAGAGTATTCAACATTTGATTTCGTCGAGAAACTTGGACCAAGTTGGATTTTCTACTCTCTTTTCAATTTGAGTTTGCACCATCTCTTTTTTTAATTCCACATTTGCAGACTTCCTAATGAGATAAAATTTTGATAATTTCAAATATTAGTTGTGAGCAATTTGAACATACATATAGCCATATAGGATACAAACTCAATTTATTGAACTGCAATATTACCTTTGTCTCAAATTTTATAAGACCTGATAATCATATATATATAAGAGGGACTTTTTAAGAGCATACATAGCGTCACATAATCTTGTCATGTCATTATATATAACAATTATTTACTTATTTTTATACCTTTGAACAAATGTTTTTATTAGATTCTATTTTTGATTGCATATTGATATGGAAACAAAAATTCTTATAAATCCACCACAATTAATTTGGTAAGCTTGAAATAAGTAAAATATTTTTTGGTTATCAAAGTGAAATTCTAATAACGTTTATGGGTATGGAAACTAATTTATATTAGTTTACTACACCGAATTAAATAGAAACAAATATGCAAATTAGTTTACTTATTAATTTGACACCTATTAATAAATTAGTAAGCTTCAAATAAGTAAATAATTAAAAATTATAACCAATATAAAGAATATATATATCTTCACAAGTAAATATGTTTAGCTTAGCCAAATTGTGAGAATAATGGAAAGGTTCCTCCCTAAGGAGCCCTGGTAGATATATTTATATTAAATAGAGTTTAATGTAAAGTACAATACTAAGCCTCTAATAATTATATTACACCCCCTCAAACTGTGCGGGAGATACAACGCGCAGGTTGTCTTTCAAAAAATGAAAACGTTGACAAGAGAGACTTTTAGTAAAAATATCTGCCAGCTGTAGATGAGTAGGAACATGCTTAACAATCAGATCTCCATGAGCAACCCGTTCGCGAACAAAATGATAATCAATCTGAATATGTTTACTGCGAGCATGCTGAACCGGATTTGCAGTCAAGTAAGAAGCAGAGATATTATCACATAATAAATGTATCGGCTCTGAGATAGGCCATCCAAGTTCGAACAGTGCTGATCGGATATGTAGTTTGTCTTGTACTGTGTAAGCAATGGCATGATATTCCGCTTCTGTGGAGGACTTGGACACAGTAGGCTCCTTCTTAGTCTTCCAGGAAACCAAATTAGGACCCAAAAATACAGCAAAACCTGTGATGGACCGAGAACTATCAGGACAACCTGCCCAATCAGCATCGGAGTAAGCAACTACACAGGTTGGCCGATTAGACTGCTGAAGCCAGAGACCATGATCTTGTGTTCCCTGCAAGTACCTGAAAATTCTCTTGACTGCAAAAAGATGAGTGGTACGAGGAGCATGCATGAACTGAGACACTAAGTGTACTGCATAAGTAATATCTGACCGTGTCAAAGTTAAATATTGTAATGCATCAACCATGCTGCGATACTCAGTAGAGTCAGACAATAACTCACCATCAGAAAGAGACAGAGTGGTACGGGAAGCTAACGGGGTGCGAACAGGCTTTACAGTATGAAGATGAAAACGAGCTAGAAAATCTGTAACATATTTATGTTGAGAGAGAAACATACCTTTAGCTGAACGAATAGCCTCGATACCCAGAAAATAATGGAGATTACCCAAGTCTTTCATAGCAAAATGTTTAGAGATAATTGAAATAAATTGGGTAACAGATGACTCAGAATTGCCAGTAATAATAATATCATCCACATATAGTAATAAATAAATAATAGTATTATTCTGGCGGTAAATGAATAAAGAATTGTCAGATTTGCTACAGGAAAAATTATGTTGTAGAAGAAAGCTACTAAATCTATGAAACCAGGCCCGTGGAGCTTGCTTAAGGCCATAAATGGCCTTGCGCAGACGGCATATATGATTAGGAAATTGAGGGTGAATAAAACCACGGGGCTGCCGCATATAGACTTCTTCTGTCAGATTACCATGTAAGAAGGCATTTTTAACATCAAGTTGTCGTATACCCCACCCAAAAGAGATAGCTAGAGTAAGTACAATACGAACAGTGGTGGGTTTTACGACGGGACTAAAAGTTTCAGAGAAATCAATATCTGCCTGCTGATTAAAACCATGTGCAACTAATCGAGCTTTATGGCGCTCTAAGGATCCATCAAAATGATATTTAGTTTTATAAATCAACTTACATCCAACAATATTCTTAGAGCTATCAAAGGGCACCAAGTCCCACGTATTATTATTAATGAGTACATTAAATTCATCAGCCATCACCTCACGCCATTTTAATTGTTTATTTGCCTCAGTAAAACAGGTAAGATCTGCAGAGGTAATAATCGTACTTAAATTAAAAATGGTTTTCGGCTTAAAAATTCATGACTTAGCACGGGTTTGCATGGGATGTTGGTTAACTACCGTAGTGGGCGTAGGTGAGATGGTTTCGGGTGAGACATTGTCGGCTGAGGCTGTCTCTGGCGTGCTGGACGAAGTATGAGAGGAGACAGGTGATGGTGGCGGGCTGGTTGTGGACGTGGGGAAGGATGTATGGGGCGATGGTACAAACGGAGTGGTAGGAGTGAGGGGTGACCGAGGTGGCGATGGGGGGGTGGTGGTGGTGCGGCCGTGATTGTGGGAACAGACTGGGCAGGTGGGTCAAGAGTGATATCGGTGAGATTCATAGGAGATGGTGTAGTAGAAATAGAATGGGATGGAGCAGACGAGAGGGTTTTAAAAGGATATGTGTCCTCATGAAACCTAACATGACGGCTAACATAGACTCGACCTGTGATAGGATCCAAACAACGATAGCCTTTATAACCAGATGCATAGCCAAGAAAAACACACTGAACTGAACGAGGTGATAATTTATTGGCTGAGGTGGCCGAAAATTTTGGACAGCAGGCACAACCAAATACTCGCATAAAGGAGTAATCCGGAACACGGTTAAAAAGTTTTTGGTACGGAGAAAAGCCATTTAAGGTAGGAGAGGGTAATCTATTAATAATATATGCAGCAGTGAATATGGCATCGACCCAATAGTGACTCGGACTCGAAGCTTCAAGAAGCATGGTCCGAGTTAACTCAAGTAGAAAAATAATTGCTGCATATTATTATTAACAAATTCACCTCCCCCATCACTTTGAAAAATTTTAATTTTCTGATTAAAAAGATTTTCAACCAAAGCTTTAAGATTTTTAAAGTGCATAAAACCTTCACTTTTGTGACACATGGGATATATCCAAGTATAACGAGAAAAATCATCAATGAAACACACATAATACTTGAATCCCAAATTTGAATACACAGGTGACTGCCACACATTAGAATGAATAATTTCCAGAGGAAAAACAGAATTATGACTAGCATCCGTAAAAGGCAAAAGTTGTGATTATCCTAAACGACAAGCCACACACTCATGAGTAAAGGGAGTATGACTACATAAAAATTGTTCTCTTAAGAAACTGTAAAATACTATTGATGGAGTATATGGGTCTGAGCCCCAGGACCCACATACTCGGAAGAACAGAGCACAAGACAACAGAGTGGCGCCCTCGTCGGCCAAGACGCCCCCGTCGGCCGAGAAGAAGCCAACCCGGATTATGATCCTGAGTCCAAGGAACCCGGGTGCCCCCGTCGGCCGTGCCCTCATCGGCCGTGCCCTCGTCGGCCACGCCCTCGTCGGCCACGAGGACCTCCCAGAATCGGATCCTATACTTACTCATTTGTACAGCCCATTAGTGGCTTTGTATTCGGCCCAGTAGCGGTCCAGTTGTAAATGGGCCTCCCAAGCCCAAGGCTTGGGGGCCCAACCCTAATTTTCTCTATAAATACTCCCCTTGGGAGTAGTTATAGGGGTTACAAAATCATTCTATTGAAGCATATATTGCACTTCTCTCTCTAGCTCTCACTTCTCTCTAGAATCTAGGAGTTAATACTCTATCATTTGGTGCTCTCGTTGAGAGCTAGAACAATCAAGTTAGCACCCTTCGTCGCTACCAAGCACAGCTAACCACTGATCATGGGGAGAACTAAGTCAAACCGCAACCTCGTCAGCAAAGTCATCCCTGAGGACCAAGGGCCCAGGGAGCACGATGAGGACGCCACGGCCGACCAGGTCGGCGGAGGGGACCTCTTCCAGGAGGCCTTCAACCTCACGACGGACCTCCACAACCAACTCAACGGCGGCACCCCTGATGCCCGCCTCGGCTTGGACAAGAAACGAGCTGAGAAAGCGGACCACGCCCCGGCCCAGCCTATGGCTGCGGCCTCTCCGTCCGTAGATCCTCAGGTCCAGGCCGCACTATCGGTCATCATCGCCAGCTTGGCTCAGAATCCCACCGTCCTCAGCGCACTCTTGCCAAGGACCGGGGGAAACGTCACTCCACCTCCTCATCCCCAACCACTAGCCGACCAGATAGGCAACAATGAGGGGGT